GAAGCAGTGATGACAATCAACCGAAGTACAGCAGGGACTGTCCAGGCTAAATTCAACATCAAGAACGTGCTCATTGTATCCTTAACGGGCGTATCCAAGTCTTTAGTCAAGACGACTATCAATGTGTGAATATTTAGCGTAGTTGCGGTTGCAGAACTTATAATCGTCAGCATTATTTGAATACCAAAACAGCTATTCACTGTCATTATAACACTGTGAAGCAACAGATAAATTCTTCGCAATGTTCGTACTGTAAGTACTATCTGATTTCTTAAACGTTTTCTTAACAATTCATTAGTGTAGATATGAGTGTCAGTATCACTTTTGTAACGCAAAATATTCCTGAACCTCTTCTCTCTTCTGATCGTGTTATTTAAATCCACTTCTATAACAGAGACAGTGTCGTTTTGTTCACTACTTGATGCGTTCTCTTCTATGTTCATTTGGTTCGCTGTAATTGTACAGCTCAACTCCATATTCAGAACTGTAAATCTGTGTCCTATTAGAAATATCAAGTTTACAAACTGCAAACTCATTACAACGTCCAGGACATTTATAACGTATCGTATAAAACAATGAAAAAATCCAAAATCCGTTCTTCGTGTAATGAAGTCAAAACTGAATAGCGTTACAAAGTAAGAAAATGTAATAAATAGTTGCGAGACAAGAATTATGTTTGTCTTCTTATAAACAGTAGAGTAAGATTTTCTCAGCAAGTACGTGTCAATGTGACAGATCGTTAATAGAGAATCTTTCAATTCCTCGCGATAAATTATGGCTTGTTGAAGGAGTGACATTACGCTTGCAAGGAACAAGAACACCGAACCCACTACATCAAAAATTACGAAAGTGTAACTATAACTGAAATGGATATGTGTTATTTTAAAATTTAGGTGTGGTATAAAGGCAATTGAAAGACCCAGTATCAATATTAAAGAATGTGCAATACCCCAAGTAGAAGTTTCGATATATTTGTTGTTTCTGTTATTCTTACCAGGATATTGATCGGTAAAGCGGAAGGGAGCTATGCCTATTAGTTTCGATGCGTAGATCAAAGGTTTGATGGCTGACAAGAAATCAGTCTTCCTAATAAACCGTTCGTTCTGCATGCCTACGAAACAACTATACCAGAGTTGTTCTGCTAAGCAACTTCAGATTTATTAGAATATCAACACATGACTGGTGCATTCTATGATCGAATTTCTCATAAAATTCAACAGAAGACAGCCTGTCGGCTTGTCTGTGTCATAGCACAATTCAGGAAAATTGATTTATCCTTTGGGGCTGACAGCAAGGTTTTCAATCCAGGTCAGGCAACAAATTTTTCGAAGAACGAAAGTTATGTACACACATTGTCAATCACGCTGTCCTCATATTATGATCATTGTGTGTGCAATTTTGGTCCTTTCTGCAGAAAATGTTTCAACAAAAAGATCAGTTAATTGGTATAATTAAACACGTTTGTGCTCAAGAAAATAACTAAACAATTACGTATGTGCTACAAAAATATTTTTACAATTCAAATTTTTTTATTAAAATTATTGCATATTTTTAACTTAATTCTCGGAAACATTTCTGCTTCGTTACCTAACAAATTAAGAACCTTTCTTAACGAACAAAACCAACAAAATTCGATTAGTGTGTTAGTACAGTAAAGCTAATAATATTATTTAAATTGATACTTTTTTTTAATTTTGAGATATTTTGTTTTAAATTTTTTGATTTAGTAACAAGACAATGACATACGTTATCGCCACTTTGGCCACAGACCCCAGTAACGTATTGTTCAAATCAAGGAAGTCGCAGGCCGAAGCATTAATGTTTGTGTGCAGGAGCTGATGTGAGAACTGTTGAAGTTGGATCATCGTGTTTCGACTCTTCGGTCGAGAAAACAGCATCAGTTTTCCAACCAAAACCGATGTGTGATTTCCACAGGTCGTAAGCAACTGACAGCTTCTCGTGATGCCGATCAGCTTTGCGGCGTGCAGAAGCAACCAACTTGAACACCAACAAATTTTCTCTAAGCTAATGTAACTTTCGGAAATCACAAAATCCAAACTGAAATAGAGCACGGTAATTATATCGGCAATTATATTAAGCAACTCGAATATTGTAAACACTCCGTAAGTCGAAAAGACAAGCCTCGAAATGTTGCATATTTCGTTGTGGTTTATGCGTAACTGTATCAGCATATACTGCGATTCAGAGCTTGCATTTAGACTGTATTCTCTGTCAGTCATTAGCGATTCTTTACAAAAAAGTTTTTTATCGAAGTCATAATATTCATCCCAGTTCGTGTAATTTTTTTTTTGAAAACGTGCATTTCTATAATCAGGTGGATTTTTGTATTTACGTGTACATGCCATAGAAATGTCATCAAGTATACCGTTTTCCAACTCCCTCTCCGACCGTACACCAAATACTGAGAGCAACTGTTTATTCAGTAAATCAAACCTATGTTTAATTAGTAAATTAAAACTCACAAACTGCATGTTCATTAATATTCTAATGACATGTGAAGTGTAACGAGTCATTGAAATTATTATATTTTCCTTAAAATTTGAAAAGACATCATATGTGCACAGAAATCCAAATATCAAAGCAGTAAACATTATATTCAAAAGAAACAGTATGTACGTTTTTCTGTATCGTACATCAGATTCTGAATATCGTAATGTAAATTTATCACTCTTATTTAACTTTGAAAATATTACGAGTAACTTGTTTCTGTTAAACGTAATAACCTGAAAAATGGATATGAAGACCGTTGCAAATGTCAAAACTGAATTAAAACTGTCAGTTAATATAAATGTATACTTCAGCCTTTTGTAAATATTCCGTATCTTCAGGTGTAGAGAGACACAATGAAAAATAATTAGAATTATGAGGATTGTTAATGAGTACAGGCAGCTGCCAAATGTCGAACCTTTTAAACCAACCGAACCTTTGAAATTGTCTGGAGCAACAACTGATGATTTAAATCGGAGATGCGCGATCCCAAACACTTTCGATAAAATATAAAGGGGTTTCACTGCACTAAATATATTTCTGGTTTTAGAAATTATCTTCATCATGGAAGGAAGTGTTGGAATTAACCTCTGTGGCTGAAGTTCACTTTGTCACTGCGATACAAGTGTCCACAAAAATGGGTCTCCAAGCTGCGAGCTGACAGAAGCCTGCTCTTCTGACAAGCAGCATGAATGTAATATCGATTCCCTCGTATTAAATTTGCATCAACAACAACAACAAAGAATGTGTAAAAATTCTCTTGCAGAAGACCACCTGTCAGTAAGATATTTTCCAGAAATTCCAGCATTATCAAAGGCAATTCTTAAAATAATCTAGTTCTGGGATTTCAGATTCCGACGAGGAGTACGAAAATGGCTCTCTTATGGAATGTTGCGCTATATAGTCTGATAAATGTTCACTGACATTAAGAGCTGCTTACAGCGACCACCATTAGGAGGAAGTTAAATGAGACAGGAGAAAACTAAATAACGAGGAGCTTTTTCCACAAATAAGTATTAAGATGATAAATTAATATAGAATATAGGTGCAAGTAGTGATATAAATGTCACACAGTGTTTGATCAAAAACTGAAGGAGAGGCATTCCTTTGAAGACCTGAACATAGATAAATTAAATATATATCTCTGTATATAATAAGATAAATTATGTATATTTGTTTAATTTTCCAAAAGAAAGGGGCAATAACGAAGTCTCGTTGGCAAGGTTTTGACTAGCTGAATATCTACAGGGTCTGATGGAGGATTGTTTTTATGAGCAAATAGTTATTAATGCGGTAATAATATTGTATGCTAGGATTAGTTACGGTAATTTAAGATAATATTTTTAATTATTTTTTTTAATTTTAATGCTTTCAGTAAAATTTAACTGTTGACGTTCATGCATTACATAATTATAAAATATTTTTATAATCTCGGATAATTATAAGAATTAGTATTCTTGTTTAAAGATGAATGGACGAAGCAGGAAAGACATTAAAAGCAGATTAGCACAAGTAAAAAGAGCCTTCTTCAAAAAGAGAAGTCTACTAGTGTCAAATATTGACCTGGAATTAAGAAAAAAATTTCTGAAGTTGTACGTTTGGAGCACAGCGTTATACGGAAGCGGAATATGGTCAGTGGGAAAACCAGAAAGAAGAAGGATAGAAGCATTTGAAATGTGGTGCTATAGAAGGATGTTGAAAATTAAGTTGACTGTTAAGTACGAAATGAGCTGGTCTTAGGCAGGATAAACGAAGGAAGACGTCTCTGGAAAAATCTTACGAAAAGAAGAGTGAGACACATTCTGAGGCGCCCAGGATTGGTTAAATTGGTACTGGAAGGAACAGTTGAAGGGGAGAATTGTAGGGGGAGACAAAGATTGGAATATGTGACGCAGATTTTTGAGGATGTGGGCTGCAAAAAATATGTAGAAATGAAGAGATTGGCGCAAGATAGGCGAAAATGGAGGACATCAAACCAGTCGAAAGAATGATGACAAACAAATAAACAAACAAACAAATACTATGTACATTTTTAATAGCCTTCTCGCTTATTTTGATAACATTTCGTTCAGTATAACAGAGAATTAGGGATATACGAGGCTCGTCCTTAAAGTAAGTTTCCCTGGGGCCGTTTACAGAAACAAAACACAATTTCATGGAAATATTTATGGCAACAGATACAGCAAGTGTCCAGCTATTTTTCAACATATTCGCCACCGGAATTGAGACATTTGTCATACCGTGGGACCAACTTTTGAATACCTGTGTCGTAGAAGTCTGCCGCCTGGGATTGGAACCACTGTGTGACACCCATCTCCGCCTCTCTGTCATTCTCAAAACGCTGACGCTGACCGGACAGGAATTTCTTGAGGTGTAGGAAAAGATGGAAATCACTGGGAGCGAGGTCCGGGCTGTAGGGTGAATGATTAAACACCTCCCAGCTGAACTCCTGCAGGAGACTTGCTGTCCGTCGAGCCGTGTGCGGCCTAGCGTTATCGTGCAGGAAGACAATACCGGCACTGTAGCATCCCGCGCCGCTTGTTCTGAATGGCCCGTCGCAATTTCTGCAGTGTTTCGCAGTAACGCTCAGCATTCACCGTCTCACCACTGGTCAGGAAGTCGACGTGGAGAACGCCCCGTCTGTCCCAGAACACCGTGCACATCACTTTCCGCGCCGACAACGTCTGCTTGAATTTTGTCTTACAGGGAGATCCACTGTGACGCCAATGCATTGACTGCTGCTTGGTTTCTGGGGTAATGTGTGCAATCCACGTTTCATCACCTGTGATGATCCGGTCCAGAAACTCGTCGCCGCCATCATGGTACCGCTGCAGAAATGTCAATGCTGACTCCATGCGCTTTGTTTTGTGTTCTGGTGTCAGTTGCTTCGGCACCCACCTGGCGCACAATTTCTTGAACAACAGGTGCTCCGTGACAATTTTGTGCAACAAGGAGCGGGAAATCTGCGGGAAATGACTGCTGAGTTCCGTAATTGTGAAGCGACGATTATCCATAATGCGTTCCCGCACAAGCTCCACAAGGTCGTCTGTAATGATGGATGGCCTCCCACTGCGCTTCTCATCATGCACACTTTGTCGACCTGCTGAAAATTGTCTGCACCAGCGACGCACCATCTGCTTGCTCATGACGTTAGGCCCATAGACCCGGCACAGCTGACGATGAATTTCGATCGGCGCTATGCTCTGTGCATTCAAAAACTTTATCACTGACCGCACTTCACAGTCGGCGGGAGCTGGAATAAGAACCTCCATCTTCAACAGCTGCAACGATGCTACTGTGAGAACGCGGGTAGTACCGTTAGTGCATGCGCCATGCTACGTCATTGCTCTATCACGTACGCACAGTCGCTTCGCTCAATATAAGGTTTGCTAGCTGTGGGACGAGTGGGAAACTTACTTTTGGGACGCGCCTCGTAATTCCCAACTCTTTGTACCAAACAGATCGAAAATATCTCGTCAGGTGAACCATTTCGTAAACATAGGCACTTTTCTCAGGGTTGCATCAAACATTGAGTAAAAGAGTTAATATATACATCTCTGAAAGGGGTAGACATTTTCAGGGCTTATTATAACGTTCTTTATTACCCGATTTTAATATAATTTGTTTTTCACAAATAGAACATATTTTGTGATCATCGTATATGATACTACTCTGCTCAGGTTTGACTTTTAATTCGATTAATTCGAATGTAACGAAAGTCTTCTAGAAAGGCAAACGTATTAATATTAATAGAATCGGTAAACATATCGCACTTCAAGTTTACAAACATTTCGACGTTTTACTCTTTCAGTAGTAGAATTTTAATAATACTTTACAAATGAAATGAAACAACAGTGTAAAATTTTTGTTAAAATTTGTCGATGTAAAATTTTAATCAAAACTTTGTTAGGTCACAGCTGATGCATAAAGAAAATGTTAAATAGGAAATGAAGATTCGTAATGAAGTGGGACACAGTAAAAAGGCAGTATAAAATTTAAACTGCATTCTACGGCAGATAATATGTAGCCTGTCATCTCGAAACCAGGTCAATTTCCCTCAGCAAAAATTACGTCTCTTGCTGTTTGGTAGCTTGTGATATTTTAAAAAAAAAATCTTGTCATCACAGTGATACAACATTTCATTGTGTCTGACTCTGTCTCTGAACATACTGAAAGTCTAAAACTTCAATAAATTTCAAACTGCATTTAACGGATCAGTGGGGATAATTCAACTAACAAATTCTCTCTACAATATAGAACTATAGACATAGTCTCCGTGTCGAAACTTACAAAAATTATGTAATTGATTATCATAAAAAGAAAAGAGATTTGATATTTTAGCAATTCGTCACAGCTTGTGATGGTATGGCCTCTGCATTAACCCTAGATTATGGTTAATACGATCGTCAACGATTCTTTAATTTGTTCCTTCACAACACAGTTTTAAGTTTACATGCAATTTTATCTGTTCACGGTTTCGAAAATTTAAAATAAAATTTTATACCTTCGGCAGCTTCACTCTTACTTCATGCGCTATCTCATATAACACGTCCTAACTGAAGGAAATGTTTCAGAATTTGTAATCTGCGTAGTTATGACACATAAAATAGTAGCCAATACCGACACGTTTAAAATTAGTCATATTTTTTTAGTTTTACGAAGTGATCAATGAAACTTACATTTCTTCAACACAAACTCACACGTTACGTCACGGAGTGTGGTAAAATGGCGGGCGATAGAAATTAAATAATTCTAATATTCACAATTCCTTTGGAACATTATGTAAAATAATAAAGTTACCCTTTTTTTGATGAGCCGGGATAGCTCAGTCAGTATAGTGACTAGCTACGGGCTGGACGACCGGGGTTCGATCCTCGACGGGGGCCAGAGGGTTTTTCCTCTAGCCTCTGCGTCCAGACCGGCTCTGGGGCCCACCCAGCCTCCTCTACAATGGGTACCGGGGTCCTTTCCCGGGGGTAAAGCCGGCCGGGGCGTGATGCTGACCACTCACCCCCATCTAGTGCCGAGGTCAAGGAAGAGAGGAGCTATACCTCCACTCACCCCAAACGCCTATACGGCGTATAGTGGGACAAACTTTACTTTTTTACCCTTTTTTTGAACTCCTCACCCTTCTCTGTTACTAAATTGGGTATCCTAACCCTAAGAAGATCGCTAATTATTATTTGTATACGAGTGATAAGAAATGCCAGAGGGCCTCTTGATCGGTCCCATTCAATGCCTTTAATGAACAAAATTTTAAAACTGAAAGCAGAAATTTTATAGATGTAAATCGATTTGCTCTTTCTCTAAAACATAATAAAAGTTCGAATTGTGAGTTTGTATCAGTTCAAAGATACGGAATAGATCGATACATGTGGAAGCCACTGTTTAGTGACTTGAAATTAATCGTAATCTAACATTTTCTCCGTAACGATGTTCCAAATTAAAAATGGTTGGGGTTTCCAATTTAATGTAGGCAACGGAGATCCTGTATAATATAGTAAAAAATGGCACTTTAAACAACAGATAATAGGGCGTTGAAAAAGTCGGGAGAAAGCGAAATTAATAAATATCACTAGACATGCTAAAATACATACAAGAAATCCATCAATGTATTAGTTCTGAGCTTTTCTGCGGAGATTCATTATTAACGTAAATTTTGATTATATTACAGACAGATTTCGTAACTAGCAAGGTACATAAGGAAAAAAAATTATTGTGTTGTCGCTGCTGAGGTAATACACGAAAAGTGTCAAAGACTAATGTAAATAAAAACGCTGCCAACAAAATAAAGTTCCGAGTTGTCATGAAATTTAAAACAAAACATTATCTTGAACAGCTTAAACATTATTCTTCCATGACTAAAATTTAGATCTTTAAGAGTGTGGAAATAAATAACATGAATTGTAAGATTTAATATGAATTAATTTGTTTCCCACTGATGATAACATCTTGGTGTCGAAATGCGTTTTTAACTAAGTGTGTTTTCAAAGTGTAAACAGTTTTGTATGTATGCATGATTTTCTATAATATGATAATAAATTTTAACAAAATAAATACAGATGTACTCTAGTCATATTAGATTCATCGCCTCAACCCTGACGATTCAATCAGTGTGTTCCTCCGAAACGTTAGTATCTACCGATTAGTACACACGCTGTTCCAACGCTTAAGACCAATGACAAACTTTCCACTTACCGTGTTTTGTACAAACGGGTAGTGAGCAAATACTGAAATACAGCAATGTTGCAGGCCGAGAAACTTCATTACGTCGTCCAGTTTCTCCCAAACAACATTCTGGAACATTCTCGCTGAAATACAGTATATTCAATAGTTCAGTGTTTGTCCTAAGTTAATATTTTATGGACATTGTTACTAACTAGGGCTACTTCTTATAAAGTGGTGAACTAATTACTTTCTTAACTTTTGTTTTAATGTACTATACAATAAGTTTGCTCATGTAATTAAAAGCCACTGTTTACGTCCTACAGTAGTTTCAAACAAAGGTAAACAATTTAAATTATTCATTCATTCTATGACATAGAACCAAACATACGTTGCACACGAATACTAGCCAAGGAAAATTCATTAACTGCAATTTTATTAAATCATTTTTAATGTGACAAGAGATACTAAGATTATTTGCCTGCACATTATACTAACAGAATGGAAATCAATTTAAGAAAGCTTCTTGATATTTTTAGTTCTTATATATCGATCCACGTGTTCTGTCCAAATTCAAAATTGTGAGATGATTTAATCTTTTGTGCATTTAGTAAGACCTTTGGGACACGGTTTTGGCCCCATCGCACTGTATCTACTTGTGCAAGTCAATACGACACTCCCACCTAGACTCGTGTCCTCCATGTTACACCGTGCAACCATTCATAAAACACTAAAATGCTTATTAATTAAATTCGTCAAAAATAGTTTTAAGTGTGGATTCTGCTAATGACCCAAATAAGTTCATAAATGGAGTATAATGTTACGTTAATTCGTAAACATTTGTGACAGCTCACTCTTATTTCCTGACTCAATAACCAAGCACGTACTTGAGCAGTATATCGAGTTTTAAGGGAAGCATCCTGTCGTGTGTTGATCGTTAGTTTTGCAGTATACATAAAATTGTTATTATACTCTTAACGTTTATTAAGATCCATTACATCTTCAGGTAATTCTTTTCAAGTGCTCAAAACTAACAGATGTGGCTACTACATTTTACGTAATAGACTTTTTCTTAAGGAGCTTACCTTTTTAAGTAGCGTGGAATATCTATACGTACTCACTGGTGGAAAGGTATACTTGAACTGAAAAGTTTGGTTAGGTTGTGAGGTAGATGTTGTAAGGGGGCTTGAGGGACGTGAAGGGGAGTAGGACGGGAAAGGTGGTGGATCGTGGGAACAGTCCTAAGTTATATTGGAGTGTATCATGATTTAAAACATGAGGTTATTAGTATATACGTTTGTTTCTTTTAAATGAACACCTTATTTTAGACGGTATTGTATGTGATTTCAATAGTGTGCTCAATTTAACTGCTCGTTTTGGTCTCTTCGAGAATTTTAATTGTATTTTCCAACTTTCCTTACGTGCACCTAGTTTGTAAAATATGTAGCGAAAACCCTGTTTTAGGATTATTAGATTTTATATCTCCGATACTTTCCGTGAACCTAGTTTTGAAATTTCTACCTGTTTGTGCTATATAAGTTTCTAACAGAAAATATGTATACAATATGTCAGTCATATCTTTTAGTTTCGAGCACTTAAAGAGAACCAACTGAAGATGATTTTAATACACATTGAGAAAATAATAAAAAATTGTTGTGTAGGCGGAATGTTACGTAATGATCAGTAAATTATTTACCACGTTACCTTATTGCCTCGTAGGCTTCTGCACTCCTCAATCACAACATAATTAGGAATTCATATGAACCCAGATCTATGCCTCGAAAGCTGTCCTACAGACGATTTACGATTCTTGCATGTTGTTCTAACCATCGTCGGCACACGACTTTTCTCATTCCTTCACCTCCTAGATTACGCATGCGCAGAATACATCCTTTCACTTCAGTAATTTTCCTTTCACCAGCAGTTAGCAGCTGTATTCCTTTAGGTACGAGAAATTTTTGAAACATGTATAAACCTCGCCAGAATTAATACATTCCACTAAGTGTTCAATATTTACATCTGTTATTTTAACCGTATTTACAACATTACTCCAGCGTACA